CTTAATAAAATTTGAAATATGTATGTATGTATGTACATTTAACGTTAAAATTACTTCTAACGTGAAAGTAAGTTCTGCAATGAAATAAAAATCAAATATTTTAAATTTCTACTGTTTTAATTTCAGGAAATAACTAGATATACGATTGAAGAATAAAATAATTTTAGTATCCCAAAAAACGTATTTTAATGAGTCCGATACTGAGTAGTATCGATACTTTTTCTCTGATACGTTTAGAGTATCGATACCATGAGCTCGATGCCAGAGTGAGTACTCAGTATCGATACCAAAGTCTGAAATTTCGAACCCTACCCGGGCATGTCATAGCACACACTTTTCTTTCTCTACCCAGCGCTGTGATCGACATGCCATAGCTTACTGAGCGCTCTATAACCACACGCGTGTTTCACCCGTATACGAACAGCGGTAGCGGAGCAATGATTTCCACGCACACAGTCTCATTCATTGAATCGTTTTTATGCAATGGTCTGCATCCTAGCGCATTCAAACGATTCAATAAGTGGGACTGTGTGCATTGCTTAGCTGGCGCTCTTCGTATGTGAAACACACATGAGCTCAGAGAGCGCTGATCATTATTTAGGGGGTGCTCATAAGCATGAATATATTCCGCTCTCAAACCAAATCGATCAACTAAGATTTGGTAACTATGACTAATCCATGTGTTGAAAGAAAGCTTATCTGTATTAGCAGAGCTTAATGGCATCCTTTTATGAACCATACTTTAAGTTGAATGGAATTTGTAGAAATATGCTTCAAAAAAATATTTATTAGTATTTACCAAACCCTTCAACTAAATTAACGATTTGGTACAACCTAGATGAATATTAGAAGCTTTAATATATTTAGTTATAATTACCAACCCATGGTAATAGTTCCCCATCCTTGGTCACAGTTCCCAAATATTGTCAAAATTCGGGAACTAAATATCTTTAGTTGTTGAAACTAATCCTTTTTCTCAGTGATAGATATGTATGCACATATGTGCCTACCTAGTAGATAAAACTGGGCAAAATAGCACGAATCTATTCTTCTGTGCATGAGAATATATACATAAATATATACAAACATATGTGTATATACATATGTATGTATATACAAATCTGCATGCGTGCATACAATCCTTTACTCGAAATTCTTAGTTGCTGCAATTTTTATCCCATACATTTTTGCCGACCAAACAACGCGTTTGCCTGTCTAATCTGCTTGCCTCATTTGCCTCGCTCGTTTACTCGCCTCATCTGCCTCGCTCGTTTACTCGCCTCGCTCGTCTGCTGCTGCAAATGAGTGCCTCGCTCGCAACGATGTCCTCGTTTGCTTGCCGCGCCACTCTTGCGCTGCCCTCGTTTACTTACTCGCTCGCTGGCTACTCAGCGCGTGCGCTCGTACTTAACGAGTGCTCATTTGCAAACAGCCTTGCGTGTTGCTGGTGAGTTGCGCTAGCTCAGAGCAAACTAACGAGCGAGCGAGGGGCTAAAATGAGGCAAATCCGAACCCTGACAAAAAGTCGTAACTAATAAAAATCTCAAAATTCAGTTTTTGATTGATATGAAGGATTTCATCGAATTTCAACTCCCACATCAGTTATGGTGTTGTTACGTCTTTTTGCATTTCTTCTTCTTCTTCTTTTTTGGCGCTGTAACCGCCTAAGCGATTTTGGCCGAGTTCAGCAAAGCACGCCAGTCGTTTCTCCTCTGTGCCAACTGACGCCAATTGGAAACGCCAAGTGAAGCCAAGTCCTTCTCCACCTGATCTTTCCATCGCAGTGGGGGCCTCCCTCTTCCTCTGCTACCACCAGCGGGTTCCGAGTTGAATACTTTCAGAGCTGGAGCGTCGGTGTCCATTCGAACGACATGGCCAAGCCAGCGGAGCCGCTGTATTTTAATTCGCTGCACTATGTCTATGTCGTTGTAAAGCTCATACAGCTCATCGTTCCATCGTCTGCGGTACTCGCCGTCGCCAACGCGTAAAGGACCGTAAATCTTCCGCAAAATCTTTCTCTCAAACACCCCAAGAGCCGCCTCATCGGATGTTGTCATTGTCCATGCTTCTGCGCCATATACCAGCACGGGCATGATGAGTGACTTATAGAGCGTGGTTTTCGTACGTCGAGAGAGGACTTTACTCCTGAATTGCCTACTCAGTCCAAAGTAGCACTTGTTGGCAAGAGTGATTCTACGTTGGATTTCAATGCTGACATTATTATCGGTGTTAATGCTGGTTCCCAAGTAAACGAAATTCTCTACTTTCTACTTTTTGCATTTCAGGTGACGATATATTCGTTTCAATCATTTCAAATGTGGCTCTTTGGGGAATTTATTTTAAGGAAAAATTTAAAAAACAGTAATTTTGTTTACTTGTCGGGCAATATTTTTTTCATAGAAAAATATGTACATTGGATCCTTGCCTAAAGGCCTCTGTGGTAAAACTCTCCCCCTACGTCCCCCTTCTTTGCTATTTAAAGTGAAAGATTAAGCTCCTACAATAGGGCTTTCCAGCAAAAATCTTCAACATTTAACTATAAAGAGAATCGATGCTGAAATATTTAAAAAGCTATGTCCGACCTTTAATTAGGTAAGAATTAAGTAACTATCTGAAGCCCTCATCATTCGTGATTCCAAAAATTCAAATGATTATAAAAAAACGGGGTGCTTTTTTAAAAAAATAACAATATTCTGATCCGATTCGGCTGGCAGCCAGGACCTTAAAAACAGAATTTTGTTCAAAATTTTCATTCCCGGAAAATAATAATTTATTTTCCATATCCACCTATCTAGCTGGCTATAAGCACAAATTCTTCAAACCAATCGCAGAAGAAACCATTAAAAGTGAATTACAAAAACTAAAATCGAAAAACGTCGATCACGTTACAAGTTCTCCAAGTTCTGAAACCGCTACAGGAATGAAAATGAAGAATTCTTTCTAAAAAGCCTCGTAAAAACCTGACACATCTGGTTTGGTTTGTAAGCGCTGTTTAAGCAACGATCTCACCAATATGCTAGATTCTTCAAGTGAACATGAAAGTCAGGAGGATACATCCGACATTTGCAGCCCCGATTCAATTCTCATCACTTTTTTTAAATAAGATGTTCAATTTGTAAATTCATGTACTAAATAAAATAAACATTATTAAAAATTACCAACTTTTAAATTTTTTTATTTACCTGATTAACTTAGTTTACTTACCTGGTTATTTCTTAAAAATACTTGACATCCGCATTCGCATTCGCATCCGCGGATGTTAGCTGTTAGACATCCGCGTCCGCGGATGTCTAAAATTTCACATTCGCATCATCCCTAGTACATAAATGCAACAAGAATCCAAATTTTAAACTTCAAACTGCAGTTACAGAGAAAGGAATAAAAAAATGCATTTATAAATTCAGCGTCCTCAACTTCACTAGGAAACAAGTTTTCTTTCAAATCCATCCATAATTGTATTTTTGCCCACATTTTATATCACTGTGCGACTTCTTGATAATGACGTCTGGGAATGGAATTGATGACTTGTGCTCGAAAGTAAACGGATACTTCCACGAACTTTTTCGCTTCTTCACTGCAAGGAGCCTAACCGTCTCCCCTTCCAAATCCTCGGCAACCCTTTTTACCACCTGGACGAGGTCACGAGGTTGTTGTAGCCGTTACAACAACAACAACAAAGCTACACATCTGTCATAACACAAACGCTCCCTGTCAACACCATGCTAAACAAGCACTTCCTAGTATGGTGCCTCAAACGTGTGCCTCCGAACAGACATCTGCTGGCGGCAGAGGCCTGCCGAGGCGCGTCGGAATGCATTTATACGAACTGTCTGACGAGGTCCAGAAGTTCATTAAACAATCACTGGTCGGTCTCAACTTACCCCAACTCCCGAACTCTGAATGATGTAGACGAGACAGAACTTCTTCTGCCTCGGCAGACTCGCACCACCCAAGCGCAACTCCGCTCTGGATAACGCAGCAGGTTAAACTCTTACTAGAGCAGATGTGCTGTACTCAGATGTGCCCAACGTATGTCCCGGCATGCGGACAGTCACCCTATGGCTTCACACACCTCTTCGCATGCCTACGAAATACCACTCAACTAAAGCTCCTCTCTGGTCAAACCCAGACGGAGTGGCGCACTTCCTCAGCCTCCCGGGGGCAGGGATAGGTAAGCCGCTACAACAAGAACAATAACGATAAATAAATAAGCCTGCAACAGCAAAAAATCTGTATTATTGCTTTAGAAACTATGCAAATTTTATTTTGTTCCTTAAATACATAAAACTTTTACATTATTAAAAAAGCATAACATCGTCGCTTGGCGCGCAATACCTATTATCCGCGAAGTGCAATACCACGTGTAAAATAATCCAAAAATTAACTAATGATGCTCTAACTGAACTTAATAAATATTTATGGAGTCTAGTAGCAACTAGATACTAGCCGCCATATATATTAGGCCAAAAAATGAGACAAGGTAGCCAAATTTTGCAATTCATTATGTGTGTGTGTGTAATGCACGCCACGCGACGAATGTATGTTCATACATACATACATATCGTCGTTTAAAGTGCAAAAGCGCGTGTCAACAAAATGCAAAACCGCGTATGTGAAGTTGTAGAAATTGTTTTCTAGAGTGTAAAAACACTCATATTTCAAAATGGTGCTCTTTTTTATAAAGCAATCGCATATCTGCCTAGTATATTTCAAGACGAATGTATAAGGATTGAGCCAAGAGCTTGTGTGAGCAAATCCAATTTTTGGCAGCCAATGTCAGTTGCGCGGTTTTGCAGAATGACGATACGCGGTTTTGTACTTTAAACGACGATATGTACAAATCTGTATCGAAGTAATTCACTGAATATATTTTTACTATTTCAAAATCAATTTATAAGTTATATTAGCTCTTAAAATACTAACACAATCACAAAATGTATGATTGTGATACAAAAAATGCTCACTTGATGTAGTTTAATGCTATGAAATTTCTTAAATAGATGTATTATAAAATAAATTGGGAAATAACTTATTATAATCAATCAACAAAATAACATAATTAAAAAAGCTATATGTGGGGGGATTCTTAAAGAATTACAATTATGGCTATGGAATTATTAAATGAATATATGAAGAGGTTTAAAGATATCTGGCAGCTTTGCTTTATTGAATTTTTTAGTTTACTTATATGTATTTAAGTATGTAGTCTATGGCATTTAGTCTATTGCTTAGGATTTCTGTGAGTGTAGTAGTTTCTTCATTAATGTGGAACTGTTGAAGTTTATTCAGTAATTGATATTGTTATAATATAGTTGAAACTGAGTAGCCTTATAGTTATGTAGTCTGCAGTTGTTGAAATAGTTTAGTTTTTATCTGACTGCATCTGCTGGAGAGGATTACGGATAGTAAACAAAGTCTGTGGTTGGTTTAATGATGTGATGCTTAAAGTAAATTCATAATGGTGGAAACTAATTCTACAATTGATTTTCTTGGCAGTAAAAAAGCCTTAACTAATATTTACTGAAAGTACTTTGCAGCCTTTTCTTACGGTATTCACATTAAAGTCACAAGTTTTCAACTTATGCATATAATTAGAACGATCTTTGGTTGCACGCGGCGGAATCCTCAGGTAAAACAGCTAACTGCTAAGCGTGTGTGCATGCATTTATTATTGCTGCTTCTATTGTTTCCATTCGACACTTATCAATTTTTGGTGTTTTTTGTTTATTTGCAGTGTTTTGCATGGTATTCATACACATTCATATTTGAAGCTCGTTACATGACCTACGGCTTCAAATAAATGAACCGTCAGTGTTCCTGTGGTGGTGTACGAAATTCCGAAATCCAATCAGTGACACGAAGACGAAATATTTCCGTTTTGGTCAATATCCAATCACGATATTGATGAGGAATAGTCTCGACCAATTTATCTGCAATCTCTGGATTCTTAAACATAATTATATATATTATTAAAACATTTATTGCTAGTAGCATGAAAAACGTGAAAACTGTGGTAAGTGCTGTGCTGGATTT